TACTAGCCATAGCATACAAGATAACCATGACCCAAAGAAGCTAAATAACAAGGAGGGTCCAAGGGAAGATGCTTGAATTTTTCTCAAAAGGGGAGATAAAATAGATGGGAACTGGGTGGGAGGGGATGTGGAGGGGAACAGGGCAAGGGGGTCATATGTAGGGAGAGCAGGAGGCAGAGAACAAAAATCAGTGGTGAAGGGATCTCTAGGATATGCCAGAAACCTGGGATAGGAGGAGGCCCCAGGGACTCTGTAGGGGGGACTCTGACTGAGACTCCTTGCAGTGGGAAATATGGAGCCTGAAAATGCCACCTCCTGTAGCCAGGCAGGACTCCCAGTGGAGGGATGAGGACAGCAACCCACCCACAGAACCTCGAACCAAAATGTGTCCTGACTACAAGATGTACAGATACAAAGATGGAGCAGAGACAGAGGGAACGGCCAACCAATGACTGGTCCAAACTGTGATCCATCCTATCGGCAAGAACCAATCCCTGACACTATTAATGAAACTGCTATGCTTGCAGGAGTCTAGCATAACTGTCCTCTGAGAGGCTCCACCCAGCAGCTGATGGAAACAGATGAAGAGACTCACAGCCAAACACTAGGTGGAGCTCACAAAGTCTTACGGAGGGTTGAGAAACAAACTTGGGGACCCAAAGAGGATAGGGACTCCTCAGGAAGACCAACAGTCAACTAACCTGGACCCTTGAGGGCTCCCAGAGACTGAACCACCAACCAAAGTGCATACATGGACTGAACCTAGATACACACACACACACACACAGATACACACACACACACACACACACACACACACACTTGTCTGCCTTGTCTGGCCTCAGTGGGAGAGGGTGTGCCTAATCCTTCAGTGACTTGATGTGCCAGCATGGGATGATATGGGGAGGAGGAGAAATGGAGGGAGGGTTGAAGGAGGAGCTGTGTGAGGGGGAACTGGAAGAAGAGGGGGCAGATATTGGGATGTAAAGTGAATGAATAAATTAATTAATTAATGGAAAAGAAGCAATTTAAGAGAAGAAGGGTTTGTCTTCGAGATTATGGGTATTTTATTTTATTTTATTTTTTATTTTATGGGACATAGCTTATCTTGGTGAGGAAGGCAGGAAGGATCTAGCAGTGTAGCAGGAGCATGGTGTGACTGACTGGTCACATTGCTCCTGCAGTCAGAAAGCAAAGATTGATGAACACTGGTGTTCGGCTCGTTTTCTCAGTTCTGTTTAGGCTCAGACCCCAACCAGTGGGATGATGCCAACCACACACAGGGTGGGTCTTCCTCCACAGCTCACCCTTTCTAGAAACACCCTCATAGACCCAGAAGTGTGTTTCCATGGTGATTATAAACCCACCACACTGACAGTGAAGAGGAGCCATCACAACTATAGAGCCATTCACAGTTTCAGACATCCACTGGGGCCCTTGGACCGTATCCTCGGAGGGTTAAGAATAGACTATGATTTTATGTTTATCTTCAAACATTAAAGTGCATCGAAGAAATGAAATGTTATGATATGACAAAGGTGGCAATATGTAAAAACGGGATGTGAACTGGTCCTTTGTGAAACTCCCTAGAAAACGCACCAACCCAGTGTGAAGACTATAAAATAAATAAATAAAAGACTTCTCACTTCTACTTTGTGTAGCAGGCTGTAATAAAAATATCCCCCCATCAGTCTCTTATCATGCAGACCAAACTGTTAAAGTTCATTGTCACCCTGATAGGAAAAAAGAATGCCAAAGAAACCAGAAGGTGTGTTTGTCGAATTTAACAGTAAACAAGATTTAAGTACAACAAATTGAAAATGCCAACGTTAAAGTATGAAAATGAAACTGAAGAAGGATACAGCGGTAGCCTTCACGGGCCCCCTTCATTGCCCCCTTTGTAGCCCGCACCAGCCCCCTTCTCCAGTTGAGGTCAGATTTCTTTTCCTGTTTTCTTTTTCTGTTACCATCTTCAGGTGAATTTGACCCTTTGGAGTCCCAATCAAATATCTATTCTTAGTTGGTTTTTATTCAACAAATGCAACAGGCCTAAGAAAGCGCTTCTGACATCCAGCTTCAGGGAAGCCCAACTCTGCAGAGGCCACAAAACTTCAGTCTGTCTACTTAGGTTCTGGGGGAACAGAATGGGGGCTAAGTCACAGGGCACAAGCAGTCTACACACGTGTCCTCTGGTTTGTTTCCAGGGGTCTCTGCCTCAGTAATGAAATCTTCCTTGGACCTGGCCAGAGAGCAGTCCAGAAAGACAGACAAAGGTCCAGAGGCCCAATCCCTGACTGAAGGGACTTCGAGGGCCAGAATTGGATGCAGTCTTCTATAAAGACTGTGACGGTCCTCCCCCTCCCAAGCCACTCACTGGTCTACTGACTTCAGAAACAGATTGGAACAAAAACTTGCAGGAGCTAGTAACTCCAGATAGAGAGCACGCAAGCACCGACTCAAAGAGCCTCTAACAACTCCCAAGTACAAATGAACCAGGATTCACAGCAGCATTTCCAAATCCAGAAAACCAATTAAAATAGAAAGTCTAAACGTGTATGAAGTATAAACAAAAATGATTTAGTTATTTTTACTGAACCTATAAGCAGAGCTGTTTTTAATAACCATTCTCCAAAACAATGGTGGAAGCACATTTTTTAAACTGTAGACGCTGACAAGAGGTGGAGAAGGATTCCAGTAGGCCTGGTTCTACACTAAATACTATATAAAAAGAAAAATACAAATGTCAGGGTGAAGAGTGAGAGTGGGGGAGCGATGAGGGGGTGGGAGGTGGGTCTGGGATCGAGGGTGGGTCTGGAAAGTGAGGGTGGGGCTCGAACCGAGGAGCAGACTCAGGGCATATGCAGGGCTTATGCAGCTGACAAGTGGAGTCGAAATAACCTGAAACAGCTTTTACTTGGCCAGTGAATGCGGGAAGACTAACGCCTTCCTTTATGCTGCTAACCTGGTTTTTCAATCATGACTCAGAAATGACCTTAAGAGGGAGCTAAATTAACTGGCAAACTATATTAGAAAGAATAATTCAGGTAGAAAATATTTCGGCATTTAGATTGACAAACTGTTCCCAATATAGCCCTCTAAGATCCACAGGTACACACACACTCACATACATACACACACACAGAGGGGAGGGCAGGAGAGGGAGAGGGTCAGAAACAGAGACACAGAGACAGAGACAGAGACAGAGACAGAGAGAGATCATATTTCTTGTTTTTCCCCGTCTGGAAACGTCTAGATGTCCCTCCAAATCCATTTTATCTTGTCTCCATGCAATCTGAAACATTCTTTTTGGCATGAGACTAAAACCCCAGGGGAGGAATTCCAACATTTCCAGAAAACTCCTCATAGCATGAGCCTAAATAAAGTTCTCGCTCCTGCCAGGTGCCTCTTGTCAGGGCATTGGTCTCAGTGAAATGAACAGTAACAGATAGAGCCTGTTGGTACCAAAAAAGTGAGAAAACCCACAGTGGGGTGTGCCAGCTCTGAATGGCCACTGATGCTCTGATGTCACAGAGAGCCATTGTGAGGAATGACCGACAGTTGATCATATAATGAACTGTCTGGACTGTTTTGTGTCCTTCTGTGCAGAGAGCTGTTTGGCGATCTGTAGGACTTGTTGGTTGGTGCTTAGATTGAGATTGGATCGGATTTCAACGTTGGAGATTGTTTGGATTTTGACATTGAACATCAGCTACACTTCCACACAGTGAGTTCTTTCCTATGTTT